CTCATGACAGTGATGTAAGCGCGTGTGACTTTCGTGGTAACAGCTGTGTGCAGATCAAAAATGGATAATATATCGAGTGCGGGCGAGAGTATGACTGTGCAGCGTTTAAAGCGTGGAAGTGCTGACCTTACTTTGAGTTTGATTCCATGAAAAGTGACAGCGTCCGCTGTGGGAAGAAAACTTATTTTTACAGAGAAAAAAAACACACCGTCTGAGCAAGTACCTTGCACAGGAATGTGAAATTCGCAGAGAAACCCCTGGATCCCCCCCCACTGACATCACCGCCGAGGCACTGGGCAAACCTCCACCCACCCCACTTCTGCTAAACAGGTGAAAATAGATTTAAGAGCGACAGGACTTAGTCCCCCTGAATCTTTGATTTTATTTATTTGCTGCTGTGTTTTATTTGCATCTATTTTTTAAAGTGAGTGTAAACACAAAACAATATTTTAATTTTATATGCCAGAATATGCAGAAAATAGGTTTAAATGTTAAACAAATTTCTTCAAGGCAAAGACTGTTGCATATAATTTAGTTTTTGCTTGATGCAATGTGCATTAAGTTAAAAGATTACAACTAATAAAACAAGTTTTAAAAAGAGACTTTTTCATTTGATTCAATTTTATATGATGGGTGAATGCGGCGTGTTGTATAAAGCACTTTGAGTACTCCAGGAGAGTAGAAAAACACTATATAAGAATCAGTCCATTTACTTTGCTTTGGTGTTCTTCTGTTGCTGCGTGAACAGAAAAATCCACAGATCCAGCACAGAGACAGACAAAGAGAGAACAGACAAAATACAAATTGAGGACAAAGACTCATCTGCTCCCCGTAAACCTTAGAAGTGCTCTGAATCTTTGACTCTGATATTTCCTGATCTCTTTTCCTTGAATCTCTGCTTCCACAGGTGAGTAGTTGAAGAGTTTGGCTTTGTCTGTTTTTTAGTTGTCCGGCAGCCTCAGACATTGTAACTCCAGGTCGTCACTCCTGTGGAATGAAGTAAAAGGTTACAGTTAGTTAAATAATGCTGGTTTAAATTGTACCAGTCAGAGAACTGATCAATACTTTTGAGATCTTTTGGAATTATAGTACTTTTTGTTTTATTGTTAACAATGAAATGATCATGTTTGCAAATCAGTTGCAATTTTCTAAAATATGTTTATTCATAACACAGGCTCATATAACTTTTAAAAAGTTATGAATTTTGCATGGTGTGTTGCATCTACATGTCCAATGTCTCGTTTCCTCACTGGATTTTGTGCAAAGTGGATCTCTATAAACATTTAATAAACACTTACTAAACAAAATTAACTATAATTTTATTATTAATACTCACAAATATTAAATTGCTAAAAAAAAAAAAGGTCATATTTTGTATTTAATGTTACTGATCCAAAGTGCGCACGCCAATATGACACAGTTAAAATCCAACAGCCTAATATCTAAAATACAGACTAGTATCAGAACCAGCAGTGGGGTCCACCAAGCTCCAGCGTGGCCCACAGGTGAGCTCTGCTGAATGTGAAGGCCACAACATGTCACCTGTCACACTCATCAAACTGTTAAGTGAGTCAGCTGACCTGTGGAAGAAGAGCTCTCTCTCATTCAGGACGACTTTGCACTGAGCTGCTGTGACTCTTTGCTTTAGGCAGTAAGTCCATGAAATGTGAGCTGATGTTTCATCTGCTGATGCAGTAGTGAAGCGGTGCTGGGTGTGTGCGCTGGTACTCTCTGGTCCTGTTCCACCCTCCTGCTTCCTGATGGAGCAGCTGTGTGGAGTGACACAGCTGACTCCACTTAACAGTGAACACTCAGATCAAGAACACAATGATCAATAATTCAGGCCAAGAATTAAACTTCATTCTCATAAAGCATCAGGCTGCTCATTTTTTTCAGCTTCGTGTGGTTGAGAGATGTCATGATATCAGAATTTACTACAGCTGTTGTGGCCAAAAAATCACTTCAATTATATTTCTTCATTGAAAATCCATATTTAGTGTTCCCATTTCAGTCAAATTAATGAACTTTGAGTTTGTTTTGTCACTTTTTAGGTAAATCACTTATGATCAAAAGATAAGTGTGGGCAGAGAGAGAGTCTGTAACTGTAATTGTGTCCGAGGATGCAAAAAGAACACATATCAGTATGATTCAATTCAATTCAATTTTATTTATATAGCGCCAAATTACAACAACAGTCGCCTCAAGGCGCTTTATATTGTACAGTAGATCGCACAATAATAGATACAGAGAAAGACTCAACAATCA